ATTTCTGGAAGTTGAATATAAATGAATGTGTGTTTCCCAGCAGTATAGATATTAATTCTTTGACAATTTCAATGGATGGACGGCACATACTTTTTACACTTATATCTGTATTATATTATATATCACAACAAAAATGCAATGACAATTGCTTTTGATAAAAAAATAAATGTAAACATAAACATGATGTGACTATACAGGCAATTTAATTAATAATTTTTAAAGATTATTTTTTTCTTTCTTAGTAAGAGAACCAATCTGTTAATAACATTCGTTATCGCGATTTTTATAGCTTTTCAAATCCTATTGTTTTTGACAGGCTTGAATGTTTAGAATTTGCATCGTAGGTGAGAATTTGATGTCTGTCAGAAATATGATACTTTAGCTTTTTAAAATAATAATTAATTTTGAAGACACATATATACGATGTTCCTTTACTTTTATTGTTATATGTACATAGGTATTTCTTATTTATAGTCTTATTTATGAACACGAAAAGATACATCTTACACTTTACTGTAACATAACTGTTATAACTTATGGCTGTAAATTACATTATAATATATGTTATAAGTACATATCGATTGAACTGAAATGAAACAAGCAAACCTAATATTGATCAATTAGAATCTACATTTTAAGAGCAGACATTTATAAATGATATTGATTATCTAAAGGACATTCTATAGTACATGTGCAAGGACAGAATTATACTTTCGGAACTTTACAAGCACAAAAAACAACAACAAAGGAGTTGTCGCGTCACTATAACGCATATAATACCAGACTGAAACGAGAAACTCCTTATTCCGTGATTTGTTTGTTTACTGTTTTAGTTATTTATATTTCAAAAGAAGAGTATTTCTGTACTTTGTCCCGTTGACTTACGTTGTTGATAAGTATCAAACATGCTATAAAATCACTATTTCAATGTTATGAAATTAATAATTGCCTGTTTCTAACGAAGTAAAAATATATTTATTTCTGAGGCATAATGTGCTTTTAAAGATGATGTTGAATCGATTTACATTTCTTTTGTTTGAGAACGAACTGTCATGCTACCGAGGCAAAACCAAGACGTATGAAGTTTAAACCTTTATTCCGTAAATCGTTGAATATGGTAAAAAGCTGAAATGATACAAAATAACGCTGTATAACTAACAAATCATCTGGGAAAAATACATGTTAACCAGCAAACTCCGGAGGAGTGTTTGACTACCTCGTAATTCAACAATCGGGTCTTAAACATGAACAATATACAGACTTTTATGTAAAATTGATTAAGTACAATGTTGAAAATAGATAAATACAGAATCCCTAAAGAAAGCCCAACACGGCAAAATTGAAAATGTTGCAGGCTCGGTTTGATTGAGCCTGTTCATGGACGGTACTGGAAAATGCAAGTTACCGTCCACGCCCCCTAGCACCGGCTTAAGCAGAATTCAACATTTATACGTGAAATAGTAAAATTTTGAATTTAGAAACATCCGCAGATGTGTTCATGGACGGCGGTTATCATGGAACCTTCAATGTGACACAAATTTTTTTTTTTGTGCCATTCCATGAAAATGTGCGTATGGTCCCCAAGTATAAAAAGCGTGTGCCTAAACGAGAAAACAATGGGAGGAACTAAATAAAATGGAATTTTGAAAGGGATCAGGGTTATGAAGCCTGCGTATACAGGATTTTAGACGTCAAAGACAAATTTAAAAAGCAGGCAACATATCCTAAAGGGTGATTCAACATTTATTCAAGTGGAATATTGGAAACCACCCAACTAGAAAAATGCCGAAAGTTGAAACTAAAATACCACAAGCACAACAATAATGTCGTGCCTGAACGATCTTCAAGGATCGAAAATATAACATCATTGATTAAATGTACGGGGAGACTTTTTAAAGCCGCCAACGGCACAAATAACACGGATGTGATCATAAATAGATAAATACAGAACCCTAAAAAAAGCCCAAAAAAGGAAAAATTGAAAATTTTGCGGCTGGGTTTGTTTTGAGCCTGTTAGGGAAGGTATGGAAAATGCAAGTTCCCGCCACGGCCCTAGAAACGGCTTAAGCAGAATTAAAACTTTAAAAGTAAAATTTGAAAATTTTGAATTTTAGAAACACCCGAATTGTTCAGAAGGGGCGGTTATCGGGAAACCCTTCCCAATGGAACAAAACCCTTTCCCAAATAAAAAGGCGTTGGCCCCCAAGAAAAAAAAAGCGGGGTGCCTAAAGAAAACAATGTGGGGAAAACTAAATAAAAGGAAATTTTGGGGGATAGGGTTTAATAAAGCCTGCGTATCACAAAATTTAGACGTAAAAAAGAAAAATTTAAAAAGCGGGGCAACATATCCAAAAGGGTGATTAAAACATTTTTTAAAGTAGGAAATATTTGGAACCACCCAACTAGAAAATGCCGAAAAGTTGAACTAAAACTACCACAAGCACACAACAATAATGTCGTGCTGAACGATCTTCAAGGATCGAAAATATAACATCATTGATTTCAATGTACGGGGAGCACTTTTTAAGCCACCTGTTGACACATGTTTGGTAAAAAGTTTTGACTAGTAATAAGAGAAATTCTCCTTACAAAACATTAAAGTAAATATCTTGTGAATATTTCTTAATAAACCACACTAAAAAACACCATAATATGTTTTTGGTACGAAAATGCATGGAACGAAAAATTATGGGTACGAAATAACGCGAGAAACATATTACATTATTCTCACCCTACATTAATTACATTTTAAATTAACTAATTTCCGATTTAAATCAAATTCCAAAATTTGTAAAGAAAGAAAATAAAGTAAAAACCTACACAATGTGGGGCTATGAGGACTTAGAATAATTGATTTTGTATAAAATTTGTACTCCGTTGGAAACAACGGGAAACTAGCGTGGTTGCAAATGTACCAAAAGTACCGAAATACCGAAAAGAACAAAATTCAACAAAAAAATCCTGGAAAACACCTGTTTCCAGTTACACTCCCGTCTGGTATGAATTACCAAACTTCTATGCTCCTTTCTTACATTTAAATTTTGAAACAATACAATTTTGATAAATGAATAACATTGTTAAAACTAAACAGATTTCAAAAATTTAAAACAAAAAATATTATCAATTTTCAAAATATCACCAAAAGAAAAAAATTGAAAATGGATTACGATTTAACAAGTGTAAACTTAATCATACTTATTATTGTACATGAATAATCAAAAGAATTAGTGTTCTTTGTAATTTCTTAAGATAATAGTTTATCCTCCATTGCAATTAAATCAGTTATCAATAGCACAATTTGCTTATTCACACCGAAAGTTACTGTTATTCACATTGTTCAACCAAGAAGAAACCAATTCCGTGATAGGACGCACATAGCTGTTTTGGTTCCAGCCTTCGTTATTGTTACTTCCACTGTACGGATTTTGCCATCACGACTAGCGAATACTCTGCTGACAACACCAATTGGCCAATGATTCCGGTGGAGTTCAACGTCCTTCACAAGTACCAAATCACCTTCTTTGATGGATTGTTCATCATGTAACCATTTCTTTGTGATTTGAAGTGTTTGGAGATATCCATTTTTCCATTGCTTCCAAAAGTTTTGGGCTAAAACCTGCACATACTTCCACTGTGCCTTATAAATGTCTTTCAAAGATAAAGATGAGTCCAAACCTTCTAATGGTTCAACTTTCTGAGTAAGAAGCATCGCAGGAGTCATCACTTCTGGGTCTTCAGGGTCCAATGAAATGGGAGCAATAGGTCGCGAGTTAATGATTGCACTCACTTCATACATAAAGGTACAGAGAATTTCGTGAGTGAGTTTGAGAATGAGGTCTTTAATCTAGAAATCAAGTACCCTTCGGGTAAAAACCAATGAGCCCTTTCCCCAAACGCCCCCCATGTGGGCGGGCATGTGGGGGGGTTAAAAATGCCCCATTTTATTTGTAGCCCCTTTTAAAAAATTTTTTCAGGTCCATTTTTAAAAAAAACCTTCAGCTTTAAATTTCATCAAAAAGCCCCCGAAAAAAATTTTTTCCCTTGGGGCTGAACGTACTTCCTTGACCGGCCCTCTGAGTGCGACAAATTTTTTATTGCTTGAAAAAGGGAAAGAACTGTCTTTTCTTTATAAATTTTAAAAATGGACAGCTAAATTTAGAACAAGAAAAGTTAAATAGCCCTTCGTTTGCTCTCTGCCATGCCTCCTCTAGTTCTGCGAGCAACAACGTTCCACGGGCCAAAAGTATCCACACCAACTACTGTAAACGGTACTCCTGGAGCGACTCTCTCTTGTGGTAAATCTGACATACGCTGGGTGAGGAACTTCCCTCGTAGTTTGCGACATATCACGCACTGATGAAGGATACTGTTGATTTGACGCTTTGCACCAACTAACCAAAAACCATTTGTACGAAGAGTACTTTCTGTCATAAGTCTGCCTTGGTGATGAATCTTTTCATGATAATGTCGAATAAGCAGTGTGGCTATATGTGATTTCTTTGGTATAATAATGGGCTGCTTCACATTATTAGGTAGATCTGCTCTGCTAATACGTCCTCCAACTCTTAAAACACCATGATTGTCAACAAAGGGTCTCAGTTTAACAATACTGCTGCTCTTTGGAATACTATTCCCTTCAGAAAGTAACTCTACCTCTTTCGCAAAAAAGTCTTGTTGCACAGCTTGAAAGACAAACGTTTCAGTTTCATGTGTCAGTTCAATGTCAGACTTTACTTTCTTGAGACTTCTTGAAAGAGGAACAACGTTTCTTTAAGAGCATAAAGGCCCTTATAAGTGAAGTCCATCTCGAAAAATTTTCAAATTTTTCAGTAATGTTTCGTATCGTAATTGTTTTCAATGTTTTGACAAGTGGTCGAAGTTCACCCGGTCTTCATCAGGATTGATGAGATTAAAGATCTCTGATGGTTGATTTTCTTGGAGACTGCTTTCATCTAAACTCGTTTGAATTTCTGTTTTCTCATGAATTCCTTTATTGCGATCTATGACACGTCTTTGATCCAAACGCTATCCAGTGACACAGAGGAACATCTTGTGGCAAGATCTGCGGGATTTTTATTTGTTGAAACATATCTCCATTGTTCAGTTCTTGTAACATTGAGTATTCTTTCAACACGATTACTGACATATGTGTAGAATCGACGAGTCTTATTGTATATGTACCCTAAAACCACTTTGCTATCTGTATAAAAGATCATTTCACTCAGCGGAATATCTAACTGTACTGATACAATCTCTGCTATTTCTGTAGAAAGAACTGCGGCACACAATTCGAGTCTGGGAATACTGTGTCCTTTCATTGGTGCTAATTTAGCTTTGCCAAGAAGAAAGCCAGAATGTACACAACCTTCAGAATCGGTCAAGTTGAGGTACGATACAGAAGCTATTGCCTTTTCTGAAGCATCAGAGTAGATTGAGACAGAGACACCGGTAGCGAGACTGTATGAAAACTGAGTGAACATGCGTGGAATACTTATAGTCTGCAATTTTTCAACAGATTCCCTCCATTCCTGCCATTTAGTAACATGGTCTGTAGACAATGGAACATCCCAATCAAGACCGGACGAAATAGCTTCACGAAGAAGAATTTTCCCTGTGATGGTTATTGGAGCAATAAACCCGAGCGGATCATATATACTGTTTATCATGGAGAGAACACCTCTTCTTGTAACAGGCTTTTCACCTAACTGAACACTGAACACGAAGTGGTCTTTCTTAAGATCCCAAACCAAACCGAGACTGCGTTGTGTTGGTAGAACATCCGTCCCAAAATCTAATGATTTCAATTCGCCTCCTAAGTCTTCAGGAGGAAAAGCGCCCAAAACCTGTAAGTCGTTCGAAGCAACCTTGTGTAATCTTATATTTCCTCCTTTCTTCAAGGCAGTTTGTGTTTTCTTCAACAGTTCTATAGCTTCGCGAGATGTTGGTCTTGATGTTAACGCATCGTCAACATAGAAATCTCTTTGCACAAATTGTTTCACATCTTCATCTGCAGTTTGGACTGCCTTCCTTAAGCCATATGTTGCAACTGCAGGAGAGGCACTATTGCCAAAAACGTGTACACACATTCTGTATTCAGTGAGGTCTTTATCTGGGTTATTTTCACTATACCAGAAGAATCTCAGAAAATCTCGATGCTTTGTAGAAACCCTGAATCTATAAAACATTTGTTCAACATCTGTTACGTACATATGTATGTACTGAGTTATTGCGCCAATATTAGCGTCACGTTTAGCGTGACGCGCCTTTTTATATGTTATTGTATTGACGTCATTATATGAGTTGACTTCCGGTAATCAGAAATAAAACAACGTTATTGAAGAACCAGTGCAATCTTTTGATTATTTAGTGTTTACACAACATTTTGGTCCCGCGAACCGGATAACACTATGACAACAAAATTACGTTCTATACAGAAGGGTCACAAAGGTGCAGTTACACGACTACTGAACAAATTCGAGATAATTCAGCGGGAGGCAGCCGATTACGAGGAACTTGTGACGATTATTGACTCCCTCAAACAGAAACAGCAGACGATCACGGATATTCACGAAAAGATCCTTGATTCTTTTCAAGACGAAGAAGAAGAACAAATAGAAACAGAAATTCTTGAGCATGATGAGTATATATACATGTTAAAAACCAAGATACAGAAAGATACATGATTTTAGGAAGGTATCAATTTCAAATTTGAACTACAATTCCCCAGCTCTAAACCCTAATGCTCAGCCATTTTCAAGCGTCCGTATCAGCGAAACATCCGAGAATTTGTGCGCCAGGTATCAGCGAGAATACTTCCCAGATTCATTTCTTTACCGTCGTTATCTCAAAGCTCAGTATATCACAAATTACCAAAGTTAGATTTGCCGAAGAACGACGGAAATGTCCTTGATTGGTGTTCATTCTGGGATTCTTACGAGTCTGCTATACACACGAATGTTTCAACTTAGCGGAGTACAGAAATTCAATTACTTGAAGTCGGTCTTAAAAATGAAGCTTTGCAAACAATAGCTGGATTTGCCTTAACTAATGTTAATTATAAACAGGCTATTTCATTGTTACATGAGAGATATGGTCAAAAGGACAGAATTATACAAACTTACATGAAAGCATTACTAGAAGTTCCAGCACCCAGGTACACTATACAGAGTGTTAGAAAATTCTATGATACAACAGAGACATATATCAGAGCATTAAGCTTCACTGAATCAGAATGATACCACATACGGTTCACTACTTACACCGGTTATCCTTCAAAAACTACCACCAGATGTCAGAACAAACATTACACGTGCGCACAGGGATACAGTCGTGGACTTTGCGTGAATTGATGAAAATGTATACTGAATGAAATCAATATTTTAGACGCTGGAAATTTGCTGAATACCCTCAAGACTTCATTCCGACAGCAACTTTTCTAACAAAATCTGATTCTAGTAGAACAGAAAGAAAAAATTACACCCATACCAAGCAACTTACGATCACATAGACAAAGATGCGTGTTTTGTAAGGGAGAGCACTCTTGTATAGACTGTGCAAAATTTAAGATCGTGAACAGAGAATGAATATAGTGAAGGAGAGAAGGCTATGTTTTAATTGTCTGGGAAACCACAAGATTACAGACTGTAAGTCTAAATTTAAAGTGTAAATATGCTCACGCAGACATCATACTAGTATTTGTGGAGTAGAAAAAGAAGCCAAATCTACAGATAAGTATCCTGTTATCAACAATGAGAAAAGAACTCCACTTCGGTATTACATTCTGCTCACTCTACCACACCAGGTCCTGTGTTATAAAAGACAGCAGTTTCCCATGGTAACCTCAAAAGTACCTCCATTTCTGCCAAATCCTATTTGATGAAGGTTCCCAGAGTTCATTTATAAGTGAACACCTAGCCCAAAATTACAATTGGAGCCCACCGGAAGTGAAACTTTATACATGTCGGGGTTCGGAACACAGAGCGTCGCGTGCGACATTTAAGCAGAGCAACGTGTATTTAGAAACAGCAGAAGAAAATATCCTATAAATTGTTTTCGATAGTGCCTGAAATTTCCATGCCACTGAAATCTTATCACAAACATGCTGGTCACCTTCCTTACCTGAAAGGGCTCAAACTCGCACATCCAGTCCGTCAGGAGATGAAAGATTTTTGATATCGAGATTCTTATTGGTGCTGATCATTTCACTGGGACGTTATACAAGATCAATTATTAGAGGAGACGGGCCCTACAGCTATACTGTCTAAAATCGGATACCTTCTATCATGACCATTGAAAACAGGTACTCTAAATAAATTCTACGTCGATTCCCGTATCCATGATGAACGTTATTACTATGAAAACACCAGATGTTGTAAATTTAGGTAGCCAAATTTTTGGGAGTGGAGTCCATTGGAGTTTGAACAGAAACCAAACCAACAGTTAAACTTTGAGAAACAAGAAGAGTATCAGGACAATAGTATTCTACGTACTAGTAATGGACAATACATTGCCAAATTACCATGGAAAGATGACCATCCCTTTCTATCAAGTAACGAACATAAGCCGACGAAGAACTATGAATGTTATAAATAGATTGAAAAAAGACCCAGAACTTTCTAAAGAAATAATGGATATATTTTTACGAGCAGGAACCAGAGAGGATTTATAAAGAATGTTATAAAGCCATTATCACAGTATAGACGACACATTAGTCCCGACCCATTATTACCATCGATTAAAAAGTACACTACATTCCCATCATCCTGTGAGAAAAAGACTCGGCAAACCACACCCATTCGTATCGTTTATGATGCATCTTTTGATTATTTACGTGTTTACACAACATTTGCAACAGTATTGCCCAACTCATGAGAAAAACCCTGCAGACCTTTGTTCGAGAGGACTTACCTACGAAAAAATTCAAAAATAATCCATTGTGGATGCATGGCCCCCTACATGGCTGACGGATGAGAGAGCATTTCCAAGGAACGATTACAAGTTTGTTGAATATGACAATCCCACATGTGAAACAACTGTCCTTGACAGCCTCAAAATACTCATTACAAACACCAAATATTATAGAGATTCTAGATCTTCCAGAGATTATAATTCATATATGAAACTATTACGTGTTACGGCCCCTACGTCAACCGATTTGTTAATAATTGCAGACGTTCAGAGAAAATACGTGGACCTTTAGAGACACACGAGGATGGATGTAGCAGCCAGAACAACTAATAATACACGTGCAACGACAAAAATTTCCCAGAAGTGATAAAGTACCTGTTAGAAAACAAATCTAGCAGATCAAGAAGACGCAACTATAGTAACACACAGCTAGATCTTTTTATGGATGACGATAAGCTAATTCGTTGCGGCGGTAGATTACCTAATGCACCGTTACAAGAAAGCACGAGATTCCCGTACCTTCTTCCGTCTAAACATCAATTTACAGACCTTATCATAAAGGACGCACATATTGTTCAGTTCATTCCGGTACAGCAAGTACTGTCACATTTCTTCGTCAAAAGTACTGGATTCCAAGTATTCGTCAACGTGTCCGGAAAATTGTTCGCTCGTGCGTTTCACGTGCCGCAAGGTAACAGGTAAAGCATATAGTATTCCGCGACGCCCCACCTTTACCGAGCAACAGATTTGAAACAAGCACCACCATTCACTGTGACAGGGATAGATTTCCACTGGAGCATTGACAGTAAAAACACCTCATGGAGATCTACAAAAGGCAGATATATTTGTCTTTTCAGGTGCGCAAATACACGAGCTATCCATTTAGAGATTGTGCCAGATATGACTGTGGAATCATTCATTTTGGCTCTACGCGTTTCTTCAGTAGAAAATCAATTCCAAAAATTATAATGTCGGATAACGCCCTTTACATATATAGCCACTGCCAAAATCCTGAAGGGACCGAAGATTCTTGGAACACACCTATATTCATGGACTTTTATCCCGCAACATGGCCCCTTGGTATGGGTGGTTGGTGGGAGAGACTTATAGGTATTACCAAGACATGTATCAGAAAAGTGCTTTGGAAATCATTAATAAGCATGGAAGTTCTTCGTACACTTGTAACAGAAATAGAATGCATTATTAATGACCGCCCTCTTACATATACATATACAGATACCAAAGATGAAGAACCATTAACACCATCTCATCTAACTATACGGGGACGAAGGATTACCTCCCCTATTTATTCCAGACGACAGAGATCCCACAACAAAGGGAATTAACCCAAGAATCGGCCGGTAAATTTTGTTCAGATTTAAGACTGCCCAGCGCTTGATCATTTTTGGTCAGATGGAAACACGAATACCTCACATCGTTGCGAGAGTTTCACAGAAAACTCTGGTAACCATGGACAATATCAATGTTGGTGACGTGGTTCAAATACATGACGAGTATTTACCAAGGAATCGCTGGTTCATTAGGAATATAGAAGATGTACAACTGGCGGTGATGGACATATTCGAGCAGCCCGTGTTAGATCCAGACGAGGAATTACTACACGACCTATTGCCAAGCTGTACCCACTAGAACTTAAGTAATTAACATTGTACACGTGATTCACGTGCATTGCCGGCACCAATTTTTCGCGCATGCCTTTAAAACATAAAGTGACATTTGCAATTCGTTATATATAATCAGTGAAACTTTACCGGTTCATTGCAATAAGAGTATAATAACAATGATTTAAAACTAATTGCAATAGTGTTTACTATCAGAGACAGTTTATGAATTTAATTGATTGATCGAACTTGTATTTAATTCACTAGATATATCTGATTTCAAAGTTTCTAAGTTACAATACTTCATTTCATTGAATTTCAGTTTGTACAATTATTATTTTATTTAATATGATCTTGAACAAGCATTGTGGCCCCGGAGTGTTACGTAACATATGTATGTACTGAGTTATTGCGCCAATATTAGCGTCACGTTTAGCGTGACGCGCCTTTTTATATGTTATTGTATTGACGTCATTATATGAGTTGACTTCCGGTAATCAGAAATAAAACAACGTTATTGAAGAACCAGTGCAATCTTTTGATTATTTAGTGTTTACACAACAACATCAGCAGAAATGGCCACTTCATCTTTACGGAATCTAAGCAGGACGCCAAGTAGACTGTTTAGTCATGTCTGGACCAGACATTAAGACACTATTTAAAAGAAATCCATGAAATGT